GTCTTCTCTTCACAGGCTGACTTCCAATTGACAACTGAACTCTCTCACTCAGCAACCAGTTACGTCATGTCACTTCACTTCACTCAACTGGACTGCTGGCAACTCTACCCAACAACTACTTCAAGTCAAAATCAAAGTTACTTTGCTTCTGACACCTTGAGACACACGACGAGAGATTTCTTCAACTGAACCCGTGCGGTAATACTCCTTGCGTAATATCCTCTCTGACGAGAAAATGGGTTTGTCTCTGGCTACGGGTAGGACGACAGAGGGGTCGGAGTTGGAGTCCCAGTAGGGTCAAGAACTTTCCCTTCTCCACATTGTCCAGACTGGATCTGGTGCCCACCCAGCCTCCTATCCAATGGGTACCGGGGGCTATTTCCCTGGGGATAAGGCCGCAGGAGCGTGAAGCTGACCACCTCCAACTAGTGCCGAGGTCAAGAAAACGTGGATCTATACACACACTCCCCCATACGTCTTCATGGAATAGTGCTTAATTAGTTAAGCACAGGGATAATTTTATCTGTTTACCTTTAATAAACCGCCTCTGTGATCTAGTGATCAGAGTTCCTGGCTAGAGATCCAGAGGTCCCGGGTTCCACTCAGACTCGTGAAGATAATTGAGCAGCTATTTCAAGAAAATAGCAGCTCCGGTCTAGAAACCCGAAATTAACGGCCGTGGGGATCCGTTGCGCTGACCACGCGACACCCTCTATCCGCTAAAGTTGGTACTAACTTCGCCGACAAGCGGCGGTCGCTCGGTCGGTATAGTTCGCTTGCGGACTAAATCCACGGAGTTTTTTTTTTGTTGTTTACCTATAACACCAGGAAAGTAAGGGAAGCGGTCGATTACTTCCCTCAATAAGGGCAACATACACTCCGTGTGCTGTGCAAGCAACGGTCTGTCAGTCATGCGTATCGTTACGTCATCTTTAGAGTGTTAATAGAGTTCGTTTCCGAGTACTTGTATTCATATGCACAGTGCGAAATTCTAAAGTAGTTACCCAGGTATTTTCTTCCGGAAGGTTCCCCACACAAGGTATGGTGTAACCAAGTTCGTAGACGGACTTTACAATGGCTACGAATTCTCTCTCTCTCTCTCTCTCTTTCTTGGCATAAAACATCCGTGAAACGCTTTGTTTCGCTTCGGTTTCTTAATCTTCGGCAGTCGGTAGGACTCCTTGAACGGGGGATCAGCCCTAGTTTATCTTACAAAAATAAAATACGCTAAATTATAAGGGGGTACGCGGTAGCGTAGATGGTTGAGACACCATACTGCAAGCCGGAATTTCGCGGGGTCGATTCCCGATGAGGTCATTCGATTTTTTTTCAATTGACCTAATCCTTCCAGCCGCACTATGGCCCTGGGGTCCACTCAGCCTCTAACAGAAATGAGTACAAGGAATCTTCCTGGGAATAGAAGGCGGCCGGCGTGTAAGGCTGACAACTTTACGCTATCTTTGAGCCGATTGTCTAGAAAATGTGGGAGCTTCGACGTCTCACAACCCTGCAGGCCTTCAAGGCCTCGTACACGGATAGTTTTAACTTTTACGCTAAATTATAATACTATGTTATTCGCTACAAAAATAAAATTTCAGTTCAAGACCATTTTAGGTCAAGTTTATCTTTATGTGCTTCAGACATCTATTTGTTTAGCGTCAGTACATGAAAACTCTGTCATCGTAATTTAACTTTCAAGGAAAACGCTTATTTTATAAGCTTCCTTGAATTTTTCAAATTTACGGTATTCCGAGTCAATTCGTATGTTACAAGATGATTATTAAGTAATTATTATTTGAAACTACAGTTTGTGAGTTTAATACAGTTGCTCTGTGGCTGGAAACTTAAAAAAAAAACATACAATTTCGTTGACGCAGACAAACAACGAACAGTGTTTCATCCAACTTAACGATTCAGCTCCAGTACACCACATACAGCTAAAATAATACCAATATTTACGGCGTACATTGTCTGAGGTATCTATTCCCTTCTTCAAGTCCTCCGTGGCCTTTAGTACCCAAGCGAACTACACCGACCGAGCTACCGCCTCTTGTCGGCGAGGTTAGTGCCAATTTCTGCGAATAGAGGGTGGTGTCACGTGGTGAGCGCAACAGATTCCCCGCGGCCGAGACCGGATCCTTCTCCAAGTGATTATCACTATACTGGCATGTCTCATAAGAGTGTTTTTGTGGTATATGACACAGAAGGAGGAAACCAGGATTACCTTGAACGTAACCATCTTCCGGGCACGCAGTAGTGTAGTTGGTTGAGGCACTATGCTGCAAGTCGGAAGGTCGCGGGTTCGATTCCCCATGAGGTCATTGGATTTTTTAATTGACCTAATCCTTCCAACCGCACTATGGTCCTGGGGTCGACTCATCCTCTAAAAGAGGGGGTAAAGGGCGGCCGGTGCGATGGCTGACAACCTCACCGCCATTTGTGAGCTGATTGCCCAGAAAATGTGGAACCCTCGACAGCCTGTTACAGGGATAGCTTTAGCTTTTACCGGGTTACAATACGGTGTAGTCCGGAATAAAACGACGTTTCGGGGATCTCTTTGCTTCCTGCTTCTTACTGGTTTCTTGCTTGATTTATTTTCTGATCCTGAACATGTGGCTATATATTCCTCGGAAACTCCCCCCCCCCAAAAAAATCATAATCACTGCAGTGAGAACCTGAAATACAAAAAAGTATATTTATTGTGCTTGTGTTTTGCTTTCCTAACTTAATCTTCGAGATGGAAGTGGTGCGCTCCTCGAAACGTCTCTACAATTACATCAGGCTACACGACATCGCGTCCCAGAAGATAATACTCCTCGTAGTCTCTGTCGAGAGAATTCCAAATCCAAAATATTTTATTGATTTTTCCACATCTTAAAATATATTAAAAATACAAGCAATAAATTGTGTTAGTAGACCCATAATGACAATGCTCGGTTGGAATCTCTGCAGGACATACTCACCGAGGAGTTGTGACTATCCTCAGTCGCTCCAGGTAAATTCCACAATAGCATCTCGACCAGGACAGATCATTTCTAATTCATCAATCATTCTCACATTTGATTCTATATAGAGTGGATAAGGGCGTCGAGAAATGGGTCCAGTTTTGGATCGTCATAAGGCCTCTGAAAGACCGCCTCTTTGGTCTAGTGGTCAGAGTTTCTGGCTACAGATTCAGAGGCCCGGGTTCGATTTCCGGCGCTACCAAATNTACGGTATTACGCATGAATGCTGATTATCGCATTCTTAACCTCATTGCGTGTCCATGTGTTGTCATCTTTGCTCTTTCACTGCAAAACACTTTTCGCAAGTCTCCAGGCACCTAGGTAATGACTTAAATTTTCAATCCCAAATTTGATCCTCAACAGTTCGTACTAAAATTGGCTGACAAGCGGCGGTTGCTCGGTCGGTATAGTTCGCTTGCGGACTAAAATCACGGAGTTTGTTTTGTTTCTTTATAGGGCCTCTGAAGCAATTATGGAAGTATTAAGTAATATACAGGGTGTCCCAGGAGGAATGGACCAAACTTCGGGAGGGTGTTCCTTATGTTAAAGTATGCCGATATAACCCAAAACACCTATGTCCAAAGTTGAACTGTTACGGAGATAATGGCCCGAGAAAAGTGTGGTCTTCTTGCAGGTCCACGCACTATACACACCTCTCAGCTGAGACCCTTATCTGTTTGTCCTTGAGTGCTGCGAGTCACTAGCCGTAAGCTCATGCGCTACCTACCAGAGCCTACAGATTACGTTGCGGCGGGGTCGTGAATGGGTGGTAAATTAGTTGTGTTATGAGTTGCTGAAATGCCCCTTGTGTTTTCACACGTGGAATATTGTGATACGCATTTTGTGTGTGGATTTTGCGGTCGCAATGCACGTGCTACTGTTGAAGAATACCAAAGGCGTTTTCCCGATCGAAGGATTCCATCTCGAAGTGTATTTACGCGAATTCACCAGACATTGTGTGATACTGGTTCTCTTGCAAGTGTTTCTGTGCACTCTGAAAGGCAGGATGTACGAATGATAGACACACGAGAGCACATTCTTGATATTGTTCAGTGAAGTCCGCGTCTGTCACTCGTAGAATCGCCTCTCGCATCGGCGTATCGCGTATTCAGGTGTGGCGAACTTTTGTAATGTGGTTTGTTTACGTTCGCGTGTGTGAGGATGGTGATTCACACGCGAACTCAGGATGTTAGGAGTTTGTCGCTAAGTCGGGAGACTTAGAAGGTAACGTGTTGTTTAGCTGCGACCACCTGGTGATACTGCACCAAGACAGGTGCGATGTTGATGCACGTTGAACAGTTAGGTTGCACTGGCCAGGTGCGATGTTGAACTCTGCCTGTTGACCTTGTAGCTGGTTGTGAACCGAAGCGTTGAGCGTGTGGATAAGCGAGATCTCCTTGAAGATTCGAATGTGTGAAATAAGGTAGACGACACGAACTTGTGAGGTGAAACCAAACACTTTACTTGTTCAAGACATGAGATAAGTATAAAACAGGAATCAAACCCCTGACTTTACGAGAGCAGTGTGCTCCCAGACGCATAGTGCGTGCGGCACTAGCTTAGTGGTTGTACGTTACATTACATCTTACATCCTCGAATGGTTACAATGCCAGCCCTTATATAGTATTGTCTTCGGGCGTGGCAAAATCATGTGACATTATAGCGTCCATCTCCTTATATGGAGAGTATGGCCCCTAGATATGGGAGGTAATTCTCAGAACCATAACGTCATCCTCAGGGCCGTATGCAGCTAAGATGACTTCATTTTCAAGTTGCGAAATGTCTGTTTATGTTAGGCTTAATTTGCCGTTCTATGCTATGTGTCTAGGGTATCTCACAATGTTATAGGCCCAATTAATGTGAGAAAACATCATTAAATCTTATAAAATACAACGTGGTGACGTCACATGACATACCAGCGTTACCACATTACACCTCCCCTCCTCTGAAAAGTTTTTGCCTCATAGGTGAAAATTTTAACGAAACATTCTCCTATTTTTTGTTCTCCTCAAAACTTTATCTATCTCATTTTCTGATTTTGAAATTTCACCTGTCCTTCCTTTCAATTCCTTAAGTTCAACAATAATATTATCTACTTCAGGTAAGGACTTTACTGAACCTACTGGAGAGGTATTTGTTTTCTTGTATTCAACCCTAGAACCATTATAGTTATGAATATTAATACAACATTTCTCTTTTGTCTGTTGCCAACAATCTCTAGGGCTCCATTTGTCCCAAAACCAAAAGAAACAATTTCTGCAACACTTACAACAACAACAGCTGCAACAAACACACAAAATAATTATACAAATTATGGCTACTGCTGTTCCCCAAGATGTCGTAATCATATAAAATTTCTCATTTTGTTTAGTTTCTTGTTCTCTGATTAATTGTGGTACTTCTTCAGTTTTCTTACTTATAATTCTTTAGTCATCTACTGAAGACATAATATTTACTAATGGGATGTGCAAAGGCAATTCTTCAAAGTTTACATCTTTCACTCCCTCAAAACAACAATCAAAATCAATAGGAGCAGAAGGCACATAATAATTTGTTAAATTGATGTAAAAAGTTGAAATAGCATACATAGTCACATAAGAAGAATATCCTTTACATTCTGGTTTCAAAGTTAATTTAACTTCCCCTTTTAATTTCAAAGTACTTGTCCCTTGTGGACACAACACAATAAATGTTTCAATTTCAGGTGCAACAAACAACCATTGATTACTCTTATATAATGGTATAACAAAAAGTTTTCTTCAATTTGAAAAAGTTGTACTCACAAGTGTCAGGAGTCTTGACTGTAGACGGATGTAACAAAGTTGCTTCACAATCTAATCCAGGAGTATACGTGTAAATAGGTATTTCTCCTTTACATACAAACATAATTTCATTAATCTGAAAACATCCTGTCAATTCATTTATACTCATTTTTCCATAATGTTGTCTTAATGAATCGGTAAAATTTAATTCTTTATTACAGTTGATGAAGTTATATGTTGATTTCTCCTTTGTGATACTTTGTTCAGGTATCATACTGTCATAATACTTTGATCAGGTATTATACTGTCGTTAACAAGTTTAACACACATACAATAAACATTTCTTATACAAGTGGGTAGTAGGGGTTATGATCCTGTGTAGTTCGGAAAAGGAAAAGTAGGATAATCCAGTCCACTCGACAATTTATGTGTTTCCAATAACTTCTTAATTTTTTCGGCAGTAACTAATTGTGGTTGGAGAGAACCTTGCTCGGCATGTACAAAAGAATCTATTAATATTTCAAAAGAATGTTGACTTTCATCAATTCCCCTCTGTATTATCTTTGACCGTTCATTAATTACATTCACATTATGAACTTCTTCCTCTATTTCATTGTATTTATGTGTACTATAATTAAATAACTTGGTTAAACCTTCCTTCAAAATTTTCTCATCCTGATCAATTTTCTGTAACGTCGTATTAACTGAAGTAATGGTGGCTTTTATAACTGTCATCTGTTCATTGGATAAATGCAAAAACTCTTTCTCTTCCCTTTCTAACTCTGTAATATGCTTGTTGTAATTCTTTGCATCTGACTGAGTTAAAGTTCCAAATAGAATTTTGGATATTTCACCCACAAAATTTAAAACACCTCTTTTGAATCTATGACTCGGAATCTCATCACTTTTTGTCCAATACTCAGCTATCAAATCTTTCAAACTGTCAATGTATTTAGTCTTTGACTTCATATACTGCCCAAACGCGGCGCAATCTGTATAATGATACCAGTTTTTGTCTTTGATTTTTTGGCAAAAATCTGTAACTCTTTTCTGATGAAGCTTGGTTTGTTTCCATAATTCACGCGTTGGTTCTAGATCTATATATGTGATGACCTTCCATCTCATAGGATAAAATCGAATAGTCCCTATCTCATCAAAGTATATGCCTGTCCTTGAATCTATGTCATCAACCTTCTGACCTTGACCTTGAAGCAGTGTCCACCATACGCAGACTGTGATTACAAAAATCCCTCTATACAGCTGCATTTTCTGAAATTGAAGAGAAGTACGGTTTTAACCTATTAATGTGTACCTCTTGATGCTTTCTTTTGCCTACTTCTTGTATGACAGCATTAGAACCTTTTATATCTTTAATCTCATACGGACCTCTCCACAATGGGGTCCAACTTTTGCCTATTCTCTATCCTCAAGAGAACTAAATCATTTACTTTGAAATCATACTCATTTGATTTCACTCTGTCTCTGTGCTTCTTTAAATTCAATTAATCTCTCTCTAGCAATTTGCTGACAGTTCTGCATTTTATGCTTTATCTCTAACACAACATCATCAAAATTATAAAGTGGTTGGGGTTGTCGTTGTAATCTTCCTGGTATATTTGCATTTCTCCCAAAAAGTACCTCATAAGGCGTATATCTCGTAACTGAATGTGGTGTCGTACGTAAAACATGCAAAGGGTAACCACTCGTCCCAATTGTTTAATCTCTTATCGCAAAAACATCTCAAATAATTTGCAAGTGTCTTGTGTGTTCTTTCCAAAGCTCCGTTGCTTTCTGGATGGTATGCGGTGGTACAAATTTTCTCAATCTTAAATAATTTGCAAACGCGTTTAAAAACATCACTCATAAAATTTTATCCTTGATCCGTCACAACTTCTGTAGGAATTCCATAAAACAATATAATATTTTTCACAAAAGCATTTGCAACCTCCTCAGCTGTCTGAGTTTGCAATGGTATGGCAATAAAGTATTTACTTAAGTTGTCCTGACATGTCAAAATATATTTCATTCCGTTTTCGGATAATGGCAATGGTCCAACAATATCTAAATAAATTTTATCCCATGGAGCATTCTTTGTATCTGTAACTGTCAAAGGTAACTTTACATTTGGACGGGTTTCTTTATTCAGTTGACAAGTTATACAATTTCTTATATATTGAATCACATATTGTTCTAAACTTGGCCAGGAAATGTATAATTTAATTCGTTCAATAGTTTTCCGAATACCTTGATGACCTCCAATTGGACAATTATGCATTTCAGCAATAATTTTCTGTTTTCTTTCTTCTGTAATTTCTTCTAAGTTAACATTTAAACACTGAACAGGGTAAGGACTCAAACTATCGGCATTACAATTTCTTTGTCCAGCCCTGTATTCAATTTGGTAGTCATATTCCTCTAACAATAATTTCCATATCATTAGCCTTGAACTCGGGTCCTTGACATTAAAAATCCAAGTTAAACCCTTATGATCTGTAACTATGTGAAATTTTCTTCCCAACAAATATGGTCTAAAATGTTTACATGCCCAAACAATGGCTAACAATTCCTTTCCCACTGTCGCGTATTTTAATTCAGCTTCATTTAAAGTTCTACTTGCATACGCAATTGGTTTATCTTGTCCCAATTTTCCTTGACTTAAAATGGCTCCTATAGCATAGCCACTAGCATCTGTTGTCAAAATAAACGGTTTACTAAAATCTGGATATTGCAACAAAGGAGTATTAGTTAATTTAAATTTCAATAAATCAAAACTGGCCTGTTCTCTTTCTGTCCAGTTCCATTCATTTCCTTTCTTTAATAATTCTGTTAATGGTTTAGCAGTTGCACTGAAGTCAGCTATATATTTGCGATAGTAGCCTGCAAGACCTAAAAATGATTTAATGTCCTTCTGTGTTCGTGGTATGGGAAACTCCACTACTGCCTTGACCTTGGAATCATCTGGTCTAACACCTGCTGAAGTTACGACATGACCTAAATAGTTTAATTCTTCTTTTAAAAATTCACACTTGTCTGGTTCAATTTTTAAATTAAATTCTCGAAGTTTTTAAAAAACAGCCCTTAACTTGGCATTATGCTCCCTTAAAGTTTCTGCTGCAATCAAGACATCGTCCATGTAAACTAAACATTTTTCCCCAATTAATTCTGATAAAACATTATTCATCATGCGTTGAAAAGTACTTGACGCTGATTTCAAACCGAATGGAATTCTTTTAAATTCAAATTGACCATTTGCTTTACTGAAGGCAGTCTTGCACCTGTCTTCGTCAGCGATGGGCACCTGTAAGTATCCACTTGCACAATCTAAAGCAGTGAAGTACCTTGCTCTTCCCAGCTTATCTAATATTTCTTGAATATTAGGCAGTGGGTAACAATCTCCTACAGTAATTTCATTTAATTTTCGAAAATCTACACAAATTCTCCATTTTCTTTTACCTGACGTGTCCAATTTCTTTGGAACCACTAGTAACGGAAAATTCCATCCACTATTACTCGGTGTAATTATATCGTCTTCTAACATTTGATTCACTTGCCTTTTAATTTCTTGTTGTTGTGCTTCCGGTAACCTGTAATTTTTCAAGGTTATAGCTCGACCTTTCGGAATAGTGGGTGTTGGAATCGTATGTTCTGCTGCTGACGTAGCTGTTAATGAATCACCCGGTAATTTAAATATATCTACGTATTCTTCACAAATCTTTCTAATGTCACTTGCTCCCTCTGCTATGTGATCTAATCTCAAGTTTTCACGCAATAACTGTAATCGCCTTATTCTTTTCGTCTGATTTTCAAAATCTTGTTTGCGCAACATCGTTGGTGGTTTTTCTAATTTCGGATCTGTTGTCACACATATTGGCTTTTCTGTCAAATTAACCATCAAACATGGAAATTCAAAATTCTCACAGTTGACTAAACTAGCTGCACAAATTAAACCTGGTTGAAGAACCTGATGTTCAATAAAACGAACTCCTTTCTCTCGTGTTTTACACATTACTACTTGTTCATTATATGGAAGTATTATAACTGGTGGTTTCTTTTCAAAAACATAACCTTCATTTTCCAACCAATCTTGCCCAAGAATTATATCTAAATTTCCTGGTAAACTGTCAACAACATAGCACATTTGACTTAAAGGTTCTAATGTGTTCAAAATATTTAATTGTACTTGGCCCATTACGTCCATTTGTTTTCCTGTTATTCCACATATTTTAAATTCTCTCCCTGTTTCTTTATTAAATCCTTTCAACGAAGATTCTTTCACCAATGATATCTGTGAACCTGTATCCAGAAGAGCGACCCCCAACTCTCCTGTTAATTGCGGACTAACTACATAAACCTGTAGCGTCCCAAGGAATCATCCCCTATAGATTCCTCCAAGTCGTTTCTTGCGACTCTTATACGATCATCTTCTATGATCCGAGAGTGATTCTCATGGTTTTTATTAACCCCTGTCGAATCCTCTCCAATAGGTGAATTCTCATGGTTTTTATTAACCCCTTTTGAACTCCCTCGAGGTGAACCCTCATGGTTTTTATTAACCCCTTTCCGATTCCCTCCTAATATCCGATCGTCTATGCGATCCAGGTCTTTGACCTTTAAACATGATTCCTTCGAATCCTTGAACACATGGGCGTCCCCAAGGTTCGAGTAAAGACGACCCTTCGTGGGGCCCGGGACAGTATCCTCATGGTTTATCATAACCCCTTTTGGACCCCCCTGATTCTTTACCTCGTTGAGACGACCCTTCGTGGGGTCCGGGACAGTATCCTCATGGTTTTTCATAACCCCTTTTGGACCCCCCTGATTCTCAACCTTAGTACCTCCGATAATCGCATTTTATACCCTCGAGAAGATCATTCCTATGATCCCTGTTTATACCCTCGAGACGGTCATTACCCTTGACCGCACTAACTCCCACGAGGCTATCACTCCCTACGACAGCGCCGAGACGATCAGGTCTCTTAATTTCGTCGTTCTCCGGCTGTACAATCCCATGATATATGCCCCACCTTATGACATTTTTCACAAGTTTGTTTGTCCTTACAATTCTCCGCCGTGTGCCCTTTTTGCTGGCACCTATAACATCTCATAGAGGTTACTACATTCACCTCCCGCTTAATATGGGGTCTATTTTCTCTACCAAAATTCCCTACATTTTCTGTGTTCGGCCACTTAAAGTTTCTTGTATTTCCCTTGAAGTTACTCCCTTTAAATATATTTCCTTTAAAACTCTGTGATTTCACTTCACATTCTTCCTGTAGTGCGGTTTCTACTAATTGTGCTAGAGAATCCTCTTCCCCCCTAGCTTTGACAATATATTTAACCCTGTCATCTTTCAGCCCGGCTACAAATGTGCCCTTCATAAATTCTGGAACAAGTATGACGCCTCCTTCAATGGAATTTGGATTTATTTTCTCAATTCTGCGTTTTGCCTCTCGCATCAAATCTAAACCCATTTTGTCAATTCTTGAACCCCATTGAGCCACACTTTCATGATTTTCTTGTTTCGCAGTAAACAACAAACCTGCATAATATTCTACTGTTCTTTTCACTGCATAATTTTCCTCCAAAATAGCCCTAACTTGTTCCCACGTATTTCTTTCTGACCTGGCAAGCAACCTATCTTTCGCCTCGCCTGTAATCTTTGACTCAATAAACTTTAGAAGTAGCGGGTATTTCGTTGGATGCACTACCTTTCTTGCAGCTTCAACCCCATCACAAAATTCACGTAAACACTTGGGGTTCCCATCGAAGCTTTTGGGAATTAACTTGACCGCCTGAACCACAGAAATGTATTCACTTTCGTCTTCTGCCATAGTGGATTAGACTAACCTGTTTGGAAATTGAAGAGTGAAGGGTGTTCGGAAAGCCGTAGTTCGGTGCGTTGAAACGATGTCCCAAAGGATGTTCCAAGCCCCTCTCGCGGCGGCGGCTGCTCCCGGCTTGTCACCTATGCTGTCCCTCGGGATTCAACGTAGGCCGCTTATGAAAGCTTCCTCCCACGTGATCAAGTTGACTGCTCCTTCCCAGTAGTCCGGCGCCAGAGCTTCCGCGACAAGTTAACCCAGACCTCCTCCGAAGCGTTGACCCTCGAGTAGGCTCAGTAGACGTTCTGATTCCCTTCGGCCGTTCAGGTTTACAGCCAAGTGAATGATTCACCGCACACGTTCACTTTCTTCACGCCACTGATCCCGCCGCTGAACACCATGTAATGTGGTTTGTTTACGTTCGCGTGTGTGAGGATGGTGATTCACACGCGAACTCAGGATGTTAGGAGTTGGTCGCTACGTCGTGGGACGTAGAGGGTAACGTGTTGTTAGCTGCGACCACCTGGTGATACTGCACCAAGACAGGTGCGATGTTGATGCACGTTGAACAGTTAGGTTGCACTGGCCAGGTGCGATGTTGAACTCTGCCTGTTGACCTTGTAGCTGGTTGTGAACCGAAGCGTTGAGCGTGTGGATAAGCGAGATCTCCTTGAAGATTCGAATGTGTGAAATAAGGTAGACGACGCGAACTTGTGAGGTGAAACCAAACACTTTACTTGTTCAAGACATGAGATAAGTATAAAACAGGAATCAAACCCCTGACTTTACGAGAGCAGTGTGCTCCCAGACGCATAGTGCGTGCGGCACTAGCTTAGTGGTTGTACGTTACATTACATCTTACATCCTCGAATGGTTACAATGCCAGCCCTTATATAGTATTGTCTTCGGGCGTGGCAAAATCATGTGACATTATAGCGTCCATCTCCTTATATGGAGAGTATGGCCCCTAGATATGGGAGGTAATTCTCAGAACCATAACGTCATCCTCAGGGCCGTATGCAGCTAAGATGACTTCATTTTCAAGTTGCGAAATGTCTGTTTATGTTAGGCTTAATTTGCCGTTCTATGCTATGTGTCTAGGGTATCTCACAATGTTATAGGCCCAATTAATGTGAGAAAACATCATTAAATCTTATAAAATACAACGTGGTGACGTCACATGACATACCAGCGTTACCACATTACACTTTACATCATGAAGAGTTATTCTTACCATGATCAAATGGTACAACATCTGCAACCAGGCGACCATGCACAGCGTATGGATTTGTGCCACTGGATAAAAAGCTCATCCCGAACTGTTAAGCGTCATTTTATTCAGTGATGAGGCGTCTTTTACCCTGGATGGTGTAAATAATTTACGAAATGTGCATACGTGATTCCATAATAATCCACATGAGATAATGGAAACGAAATTCCAAAAGAGATTTTTCGTGAAAGTAAGTTTACAGTTATGTGGTCGGGTTATAGCGCAGCCATATTACGTCATCGCTCGCGAGTCATGTGTCATGTATACTGCTTGGAAACCCTAAGGACAATTATGACATGGCGAGCGAGTATTTCGTACTTCAATTTTATGGCTTTCCGTTATTCACAGGTTAGTTTGATGTTACGTACATTATTAACATTACAGAATCCACATATTCCTGCCAGTTTTAATATGTATTTTGTAATCAACAAGTGTGTAACACCGGTCAAAGTTTGACACTTCCCTGGCCATTATCTCCGTAACCGTTCAACTTTGGACATAGGTTTTTTGGGTTATATCGGCACACTTTAACATAAGGAACACCCTCCCGAAGTTTGGTCCATTCCTCCTGGGACACCCTGTATAAAACAGGGTAAAGTTATCCCTGTACCAGGCCGTGAAGGCCCATAGGGTTGTGAGCCGACGAGGCTCCCATATTTCCTACACAATCGGCTCACAGATGGCGGTGAGATTGTCAGCCTTACGCGCCGGCCGCCTTTTACCCCCAGGGAAATTCCTTGTACTCATTTCTGTTAGAGTCTGAGTCGACCCCAGGACCATAATGCGTTTGGACGGATTAGATGAATTGAAAAATCAAATGACCTTATCAGGAATCGAACCCGCAACCTTTCGACTTGCAGCTTAGTGCCTCAACTAACTACGCTACCGCGTGCAGTATGTAATATGTATACTGTGTATAGGGGTTTCGTACATGTATACCGAAATCGTGTACCACTGGCAGGAACTGTAGTTTTAAATCAACATAGATCTGCCTGTTTCTCGCTTGGCTTACACTTCGACTCTGAAGAAGGAGGCTGTACGAAACACCCAGGTGTCCCTGAAGTACACGGTGTTACAAACCAGAGTCCATATTCCTCACAGTTCACGCCGTGAGAAGCTCAGATCACAATGTCTTAACGTCCCGAGAGAGGGCTAACATGTCGGAAATACATTTTATTTCACTGTTGCTGTCTTTCCACAGATCGGTGTATGGAAGTCGTGGGAGAAGGAAGGTCTGGATATAAAGGATATCGTGTGGCCAGGCAACACCCACAGTCCTCCCCAGGGAGTGCCTGAGAAGTTCCATCTCAGGATAACTTTCCTAGAAGAGCCTCCCTACATCAATCTGTCGCCCCCAGACCCTGTTACTGGAAAATGCGCCCTTAATAAGGGCGTTTTCTGTCGACACGCCAGCGAGTCGGGCCTCAAAGGGTAGGTACATAACTTTGTAGTTATAAATTTTATTAAGTCCCTAAGTACTGCACATAGGCCTACATTATTAGCCCCTGAAGAAAGATGAGAAATTGGTCCTTCGTGGAATGATAATTTAGGAGCGGAAATCAGAAGTACTTTAAAGTCCTCGCGTTAGCTTTTTCCCAGTTAAAGGCGTTCCGTCACTATTTTCATACCAAGGCTCCACAAAACGTCGTGTTAACTAGTTATTATGAAATTATTTATCCCAGAGTTTAAGAAAATGGTCAAAGTGGAAGGTTACTCACCCAGCTTACTCATGGAGCTGAGCCCTTCTTGAGTAGCCGCGAATTCTGCAGGTACTCAAGAATTTCCCAGCATTTTATGGAACCCTAAAGTTCATTACCGTGTTCACAAGAGGCCTCCACTGGTCCCTATCCTGAACCAGAACTATCCAATCCATACCATCCCATCCTATCTCTCTAAGATACATTTTAATATAGTTCACCCACTTACTCCTTGGTCTTCCCAGTGGTCTCTTTCCTGCTGGCTATCCTACCAATATCCTATATGCATTCCTTGTCTTCCCCATTCGTTCTACATGCCCTGACCTCATCCTCCTTGACTTGCTCATTCTAATTATACTTGGAGAAGAGTACAATTTATGAAGCTCCTCTTTATGCAGTTTTCTCCAGTCTCCTGTCACTTCATCTTTCTTCGGACCAAATATTCTCCTCAGCACCCTGTGCTCAAACACCCTCAGTCTATGTTCCTCCCCTAATGTCAGGGACAAAGTTTCACACCCATGCAGAAGGTTACTCACCCAAACAAATGGTTAGTGTTGATGAGACCGGGACGACAATCACCACCCGCTCGCTTCACCTTTTCACCTGTCGCCATCTGTGAACGCAATATATCATACAAAATGTTAAATGAGCATTGTTGTAGTTTATAACTGCCAAGAATACGCAAGTATTTACAATCTCGTTCGTTTTGTCTATACGGCAATGCATATTATGGGTGTGAGGAAATGCTGAGGAACGTAAACTTGCGTTTTTTGTGGTAAAAATTCGTTCACGTTTTCACAGAACGTCGCCTTTTACAAGAACGCACCCACGATAAACTTGACTTGGCCCATCTTGCTCCGTCACACTAGCAATAATGTAAAAGATTATTAACGCCGTCCAGTGTGATTGACAAATGTTGTGTTTTTAACCTCTCATCCTTTACATGTTTCGTTTGGAGCGACCATCTTCAGGACATTATCGGTACATACGGAAACTACTATTACATTGCCATTGGTCAATATCAGTACTTACAGGCGCTTGTTACAGATATATAATATTACTTTTTAACAATTACTACGATGTGCATGAATTTGTTAAAACATTTATAAATTATTAAAATTAGTATATTTACCGCCTCTGTGGTCTAGTGGTCAGAGTTCCTGGCTATAGATCCAGAAGTTCGGGTTCGAGTCCCGGCGCTACCAGATTTTGTTCTGAGAAGTAGTGGAACTGGAACGGGGTCCACAGCCTCGTGATGATAAGTGAGGAGTAATTTCAAGGAAATAGCGGCTCCGGTCTAGAAAACCGAGATTAACGGCTGTACGGATCTGTTGCACTGACCACGCTACATCCTCTATCCGCTAAAGTTGACACTAACTTCGCCGACCAGCGGCGGTCGCTCGGCCGATATATTTCGCTTGCGGAATAAAACCACGGAGTTTGTTTTGTTTTGTCTGTTTACAAAGTATTGTTTAAAAACTTTTTGTTAAAATCTAGAACATTTCTTCCTTTAAAGAGAAGAAATGAAAAGGACATAAACCAAATTGGTTCTAGATTTAAGAAAAAATAATTTTAAACCATAATTTGTAAATAGACTAATTATAATAATCTATATAAATATTTTAACAAAGTCATGCACATCGTAGTAATTGTTACGGAATAATATTTTATATCAATGACATTGTAATAATTTGTGTAAATACTGATAATGACCAGTGACGTTGTAATAGTAGTTTCCGTATGTACTAATTATGTCCTTCTGAAGGTGGTCGCTACGACCGATACATGTAAGGAGTGAAAGATTAAAAAGCACAACATTTATCATTCACACTGGACGGTATTAATAATATTTAATAACCTATCCACGACGTCAAACGAGGAATTAGTGTACTTGGAGAAAACCTGGCCCAGTGCCACTATATCCCTTACAAATCCTACATGAATTGCACTGGGATCGAATCCGGACATCCATGTTGAGAAGCCTGAGAATAATTTTTTTAATTCTCTTAGTGGGGGGTGGAGTCCGATTGGGTCCACTCGGCACGGCGGTCACTGATTGGCCTATTGTAGCCTGCCCCGGGTGATTATGATGATGGAGAATTTGGGGGAAACCGAAGTACTCGGAGAAAACCCGCCCCATCTCCACTTTGTCCACCACAAATCCCACTTGACCAGACCTGGGAGCGAACCCGGGCCGCCGCGGTTGGAAGCCAGCGACTAACCGCTTGAGCTATGGCGCGGCCAGCCTGAGACTAAACATTTGAAATATGAGATGACAATGACAATGAAACCGGAACTGGCGGTTTGGACGCTGGTAAACGCCGTCAGCTCGGTTCCAGAGCGCTTCATTTGAAGGAAGCTATTTCCAGTGACTGAAGACACCACAACTATCGTTGCCAAGTACAGTACACGTAAGAACAAGTTTACGAACTTACATCGTAATACGTAATTTCCGTTTAATATGTGTTTGACATTCCATTAATGTAAACGCTTAACCCGTTCTGAGATGCCACTTACATCCCTGAATGTAACTCCTACATTAACTGATAGGTCTAAACTAAGCTTTTGAAACTCACTCACTCACGAAGCTGAGCCCTTCTTGAGAAGCCGTCAATTCTGCAGCTACTCAAGGGCTTCCCAGCATTTTATGGAACCCGAAGGTTCATTACCGTGTTCACGAGAGTCCTCCACTGGTCCCTATCCTGATCCAGATCAATCCAATCCATACCATCCAATTCTATCTCCCTAAGGTCCATTTTAATATAGTCCACCCACCTACGCCTTGGTCTTTCCAGTGCTCTCTTTCCTTCTGGCTTTCCCACCAATATCCTATATGCATTCCTCTTCTCCCCAATTCGTGCTACATGCCCTGCCCACCTCATCCTCCTTCAGGTGTAGGAAATTCTGTTCCTTTCCGACCGACTGACGAACTATATAACAATGCTTTATAGCTATTGAGATTTACGTTCGTAATTTTCCACAGAAGAAAACTGTGTAACGAATGAAGCCAGGAAATGTGAGTTAGTCCATCTTTTTCCGCTTGTTCGTCCGCCTATGTTTTCCTTCCATCCATCGACCCTTCTATGAACTCAAACCCTCCTTACTTCCATCCACAAATACAGCCAATAACATTTATTTGTTTATTCCTTCTATTGCGTCAAGAATATGAACGCAAAGACAAATGTATAACAAAGCTCTATCAAATGTACAGCTTTAATGAAACGAGAATATGACCATCATGAACTGGAAATCAGAGGAAACATAAGCAGAACACTTCCATCTAAAATGAAAATTTAGGTTAATTACAAAATAAAAAATTATGATAAATACACGATAAGAAAATTTGCGCTAAGTTCATGGTAGAATAATTTAACAAAAAAGCCGGACCTGAAGATGACACACATGTGCCGAAACATGTCCTAAACAGCAGACTCCACCTGCTGGAAATGGTGCGTTGACAGGAATATAGTAAAATATTGTATCGTGTATAGCTAGGCAACGGCACAGTTTATAGCTCGTTGCTAGGCAACAGTCAGCGCATAAATGGGCTTGCGAGTAGCTATCATGTGACTGGCTTTCTATGGGGTCCGTGCCGCGACCGTTTCCATGCAATGTTTTAGTAAACAGGTTTCAACAACAGGCTGTGTTTTCTGCGTAGTCGGTGCGGAGGCTATATAACGATAATTAGAAATATAACCGGTTTCAGTTTCTAAGTGACAGTGACAAAGTGAAGGGTCCAGGAGGGTTCAGCAGTTGAGAATGGAGATCGAATTGGAACCAGGAGTACAGAGGAGTACAGGCGGTCGGCCTGTGAGGATTTAGAGTGTGATTTTAAGACTTCGTTTATGTGTAATACTTGGAGTGTGTAATTCAGTGAGATTGTTATAGTTTCTGTTTTGAGATCCGTTGCCCTGTGACGGCTATGAAGACTGGGAATCCTAGTTCATGTGCAGGGGTGAATTGGAAATTGTGTAAACCAGCGATAGCGCTGTATTTCCTGTATTTAAGTGTCATTAAGAGAGGATGTAACCAGCGTGCCAATAAATCAAATTATCCGAACTAGAACCCGTCATTTTTGTCACGCGAACCACCCTACACGTGACAGTATTACCTAAGACTGTATCGGATTAACAGATTATGTACAGCATAATAAGAAGCTAATAATGACCACCCTGAAAATGAAGTGAGCGGAAAACTAAGCAAAAGGTCAGCAGAATAGTTGAGAGTGAAGCTGGTTATGGTTTTCATTGAGAATGAAGCAAAGTAGTTCCAGTCCTATGAGAAACATCCGGGTAAAACGCCATTCTACCATTTCAGTTTCAAACTTAATAATATAACAAAATATCATTATAAAGAATACGGTATTTTACGAATAAAATGTCTTAAGAGCAGAAAATATAATATATTCTTTGAGTAATAAATTTATTTTACGTGCAGAACATTAAGCACTGTAGCTAATTTTTCTGTTTTCCGTTACTTTTCAGGAATACCATAAAAACTGTCGAGTTATGCAATAAAGCTTTCACCCTGCAGTATACAAGATAGGAAGCAACTGATCAACTAAGTGCAACTCCCCCCCAACAAAAATATAAAGAAAACAGTGGTCACATGGATGTCATAAAATGTAGGGAGACAGATATTTGAAAGGGAGAACTGATACCACAGACCGGTAAAGAAAAATGAATATAGGTAAACTCAGGATAGCAGACGATGTACGTGCTCCGAAACGTCAGT